CTCCAATTCCAGAGACACAATGCTCTTTTGGCCTCTATGTGCATCACCATGTACCTGGTACACAGACATTTGTACAAGCACAACAATAGATATGAAAAGGAATCAATGAATAATTTTGAAGCTGGCCAAGGCCTTTGTATTACAGAGATCTACATTCCTCTGGTCCAGGACTGAGTGAGGGGAAGGCCAGCGTTGACCATACAAGTCATGGCTGATGATTCTGTCCTTTGGCCAGCACTGCTGAGACCTGGGCTCCAAGGTAAGTGTAGTTGTTCTTGGGGTTAGCTCCTTTAAGATGAACCTTAAAAATCATGTGGCAAAAGGCATTGAGTAAGCCCAGATATCTTAATCTAAGATAGGAATTAAATAGTTAAATTTAAAATCTCTTAGGTCTAAAACTCATGATTGGGTCAGAAGTTGAGAATGTGACAGTAAGATAGGCAAATTAGCATCTTTAGGACTAGAAAGAAAAGTCAAAGCATGACAAGTAATTCTTCATTTGCACTGGGCACATAGCTAGAAAGTTATGATCTCTCAGGCACATGGTCAGAAGATGACAATTGTTTTATAAGAACACAGTATTTTTCTTTAATCTGACAATGTTATATAGATAAATAAATAATAAGGCTAGGGTTTGGAGAAAATATATGGCTTAAGAAGTTGTAGAAAGTTGTTAAATTGTTTCACAATGTGCCAGTGCTAGTAAGAGATCTGCCATATTAGAAGCAGACAGTGACCTTCATTCATTGTTTCCTTTGGGGGAGCCATGTCTATCTTTCACAAATGTTAACAGTTAGCTTCTTTTATGATGGTTTCCATATATTCGAAATCTAACTCAAAACTGTTCTTTAAATCTCACCCAGTGGCATAATTTTAAGTCTTTATCTTCAGGTTTATGATACTCTCTATTTAAAAGAATCAAATTGTAGCAGGACCCCAAGCCCTCCAGAAGTGGAGGTATATGGATCTCTCTAAGTCTGAGTCTAACCTAGTCTACATAATAAGTTCAGGCCTGTGAGAGAAACACAGTAAGACCCAATCTCAAAATTAAAAAAAAAAATAAAGGATCCCATTGAAACCCCCAATTAATCCAGGCTGTTGTCAAGTTATTGGTGGCTCTCCACAGAGAGTAAGGTCCTATTACTTATGACAGCGCCTACACAACTCATTGAACACATACCTGTTGCCTACCTATAGTGCCTTCACCACTACAGACTACTAATCGCAGCGCTAAAAGGTATGATGAACACTCTCAAAGGAGAAAGGAGAAACCCTAGTTATACAGTAGTGACTAAGATTCAAGATGTGCTGGTCAAATAGTATCACAAAGCTTGTTGAAAAAAAAAAAAAAAACAACCAATATCTGATTTGAGTTAAAGCCATTCCATGAGATGGAACCCATACCCAAAGCTGCGGAGAAAGCCAAGAACCTGACACCGCAGACCTAGGGGAAAAGCAAATATTACTGCTGTTCTGTTAAACGAATGTAGCAATAAAATGACTCCTAATGGCATCTGCCATCCTCAGAGATCCATGATTTCTCAGGCATCATCAGAGAAACTTTCTCCTGCAGCAGATGGAAACAAAGACAGAGACCCACAGCCAGACAATATGGAGGAAGCTAGAGACCTGGGAATGTTCAGCCCTTAAAAGGGATATCTCCATTAAATTCCTCCCCTCTGGGGTTAAAGAACTCTGAAAAAAGAAGGAGGCAGAAAGAGAATAAGTGCCAGAAGTGGTATAAAACACCAAAGAATTAAACAGGCCTGGCACACATATGAACTTACATATGCACACGGCCCGCCTGAGTCTGCATTAGCTGGAGTCCTAAAGTTAAAAGGAGAAGTAGACACACACACACACACACACACACACACACACACACCAAGAAGCTATCTCCAATTGACAGCCACTTGCAAATAAAAAATTCTTTTTCTCCAAGAAAATCTCAATGGGGAAAGAAACAACTCTTTAAGAATAGACCCCATGCCCAGCAGTGATGAACTCAACAGCATCTTTGGAGGTTCTTTGTCTCATAATGTTAAGTCAGGGATGATTGCTCTTTCCTTCCTTCTTTCTTTTTTTTCTTTCTTTCTTTCTTTCTTTCTTTCTTTCTTTCTTTCTTTCTTTCTTTCTTCTTTCTTTCTTCTACCATACATGCCCTTATTGTGGCTAGCAGCTTTGTGTTTTTGTGGGATTCCTCTGTGTGTGTGTGTGTGATCATTTGTGTCTCTGCAGCTATATATATTTCTTGTGATTCTTGAGTTGTTTCTTGTTTGGTTGTTTTGTCATATTCCAACTAGTTTTTTATTTATCTTATTTTTCCTTATGCTAGTTGATTTTCTAACGAGACAAAGAATGTAGATCCAAATGGGAGGGGCAGTGGGAAGGAATGGGGAGAAATAAGGGAAACTGTAAACAAAATATACCGTATGAACAAAATCTGTTTCAAAAAAGGGAAAAAAACAAGGTTTCATAAGCATACACACAATGCAATAAAAAAAAATTCTGTCAACCCTATGCTGTTAGGCAATTTAAAGCAGTGTTTTAAAACTAAATTTGATAAGTTCTCAGTTCATTACTACTATCTGAACTGGATGCTTTGGTTTTTCATATAAACATCTAATTTAACCTTATTTTATAGCAACACTGAGAGTGAATAGACGTGGCATAAGTGAATTTGAATCAAACATATGGTTTGAAACACAGGCAAAAAATATTTCATTTTTAAAAAGTATTCATCAGTAAAGAACAAAAATTCTTCAACCGTCCTCCTAGTTGGGTGCAAACACTCTGGTCCAAATTTCTATTTCTGTATAACTTGTCATCATTATACTAAAAGCAGTGACACACATGACAAGGTTACTATCCTGACTGTATAAAGGAAGTTTGTTGCTCAATAGCAATGTCACCATCCAGTGGATTATAAGAGCACAAGTCCATGCAAAACAACAAGCAAAATACAGATTTTTCAACTCTTACGAATGAAATTAGCAAATATTCCACAATGTATATAAGAAAAGCAGGAACTAGATAGCACAGGAGGAGATTTAGAGACAGATAGAAAAATTGTAAAGTCCTTTGTCTAAATTAATGTTCTTCATTTAAATGCTGGACAGAGGGTGAGAGAGTACTTAAAACAAATTGCTAGGCAATCAGTAGATATTTAATACTGAATTGTGCCTACACTTCCCAGCTATTCCAATAGACTGACTTCCCTCAGCCCTCATTTGCTTGCTGTAAAACAAGAATAATAAAAGCACTTAAGAATATTCTATGACAAAAGAAGCATGTGGTTTTTCTTTACAATATACACTATGCTTCCCATAAATTGTTGTGTATAATCATGTCAGTTCCAGCAAGAGCACATGGAGACGGGTACCACACCCATGGTAGACCAGTTGTATCATTTTCTAGTACAGCAGTGTATGCACGTGTTAGAGGCAACATAAGTCTCTATAAGTATATACTCAAGGAACCAAAAATACCATCCTTAGTGGATTACTTTAAAGACAGCCAGAAATGTACCTAAAGCCACTAATATGGACCACTCATAATATACCTTTACATTTTACATTATTGTCCCTGCAGGAAGCCTAAAAGATTTTGCACAATAATAGCTTCAAATTCTGTCCAAAAGGGCAGGGGGACTGTAAAAACAATTGCTTATTATGTATATGGCTCTGGGCTTAATTATTTCTATTACCCAAAATATAATAATGATGATGTTGATATTTATTAATAATGAAAATGCTAACAATAAATAAATAAATGTCATCAGGAATAATGACATACACCTCTAATCCAAGCAGAGATTAGAGGAATAAGAATTCAAGGTCATTTTTAGATAGATTAAAAACTTCAAGACCATCCTGAGCTACATGAGACCCTATCTCAAAGTAAATAAGTAGATAAATATAAAAAACATATGAACCCTCACCAAATTACATAAACTGTCTTTTAAACATATAACAATAATCCAGATTTTAGGTTTCTCCCTAAACTGTAGAAATAGAAATGTTACTTTATGGAAAATGTATAGTATATCCTGAATTGTGAAAAATATACCTTGAAAATGCTGTGGAGCCAGTTCTAACAGACACATGTACAAACATGAGCACACCTAAGCCTCAGGGAACATGTAAAGGTCTATTATGAGTGGTCCATATTAGTGGCTTTAGGTACATTTCTGGCTGTCTTTAACCCACTAAGGATTTTTTTGGTTCCTTGAGTATATATTTATAGAGACTTATGTTGCCTTTAACACGTGCATACACTGCTGTATAGAAAATGAAGGAGCAGAAAGACTGTGGAACAGTTTACTGTGAGACTGTGTCTCCTAGTAATGTTAGAAGCTACATCCATAAAGTCTTACCACCATGACTGCCTAAGCATGAGCTGAACGGTAATGACATCAATAGACACAAAAAAGAGGGAAGGGGAATGCAAATGCATCCCTAGCCCTACATAAAGAACTATGAACAGGGTTTGGAGTGATTGCTTCATGGTTAAGAGCACTGACTGTCTTTCCAGAGGACCTGGGTTCAATTCCCAGCCCCCCACATGGCAACTCAAACCTGTCTGTAACTAAGTTTCAGGGGATCTGATACCCTCACTCTAATGCACATAAAATAAAATAAATATTTTTTAAAATAAATAAACAAACAAGAACTGCCCACAACTAAGGAAACCTAAAAGTCAGAAAAATAGTCTGTCCAGGGAAGAGGACACAAGTGGTTATCTGATACTAAGTGGTCACCCTAAAAACATACATACAAGCAACATGATATAGATTGTGAAAGTTATGTTTGAGAATACATACATCTACATATGAATTTAAAAATAGCAAGGAGTGGTATGAGGGATGGTTTGGAGGGAAAAAAGGGAAGGTTTATAAATGTTTCAATTATATATCATCTCAAAACTAAAATGCTGTGGCTTTGTTAATATTGCCAGAATTACTTCTAGAGACAGAGATCTCTGCACCTATCTTACATTACCTCTTTAGAATCAAGAATGTCATGCTCAGGAATTGCCACCATGGGATGATCCGGCTTCACAGAAAAGATGCCCAGCTTGTGATCAGGAGCCAAAGTGAGGAGAAACAGATGTTTAGATTTCATTCCAACAGATACTTAGATAATGACATCTAATAGTTCACTGCAAACAGTAGTAGATTTTGCCAACTGTAAGCACTGGGACTTAACTGTCAGTTCAAATGCACAGGAAGTATTTGAGCAGATAATGGGTATTCTGCATAAGACCACATCTTACTTATTTTTCTGTCACACATCAACTCTCATAAGCCTCAGCAATACAGCAACCACTGTCATTGGTTACTTATTTTTCCTAGAAAAGAAGCTAAGTGAAATTGATGTTTCAGACCTCATATGCTAGCCCCTGATAAATATCATTCAAAAGCAAAAACAACAGCTCATGTTAGACTCACAATAAATATACATATGTCTCAAGACAGTATATATTTCCTTGGATAGTAAAATATACAGTGTTGGGAACTTCAATAATATCAAAACACAGTAACTTCATAAATCATGTAATTCCACCAGATTAACATTATTATAATGTAATGCCACAGAGTAACATTTAACAAGAAGGGAGTTCTTCCCATGTGTGGGAGTGTTTCTTTAGATTTTCTGAGCACTGTGCAGACCCTTAAACCCACTAAGGTGGATGGAAAGTCCTCAACACGCCACTAAAGGCCAGCCTGTGCCACAGAGAACTTGTGCTGATGTCCAACTTCCCACCACTCCTCTTTGGTTTAAGACAGTCTCACTTCATCGTCCAGGCTAGCCTAGAACTCACTCTGCAACTCAGGCTAGCTTTGGTCTCATAGCAATCCATCTCCCTCAGCCTCCCAAGTGCTGGAATTAGGAGCATAAACTACCTCTTGCAGATTCATTCATCCTCTTTTGTGTCGCCTTTATTGCTTTCAATCTAAGGTTCTGAAATCATTTGTCAGGCACATTCCTTTCTGTTAGAGGCACATCAGGCTGACAAAAATGCCTGCACACCTTCACTTTCAACACTGTCCTGCTTGGAACTAACAGTGGGACAGCAACTCCCTCCCAATTCTTCAAAGAAAGTTTAAAGAGGCCAGTAAGTGAGGCAGTCCCGGAGAGCCTTTGGCCCAAACTTCTGTACAGGCTCAGGAGGTGTGTGCCCCCTCCCCCCCCACACACACCGCCCCCTGCTACCCTAGCACTTTCTCAGGCCCTCTCAGTTCCAGCAGCTTTAAGGAACTGAGCCTGCTTTTATTGAAAATTCTATCTTCACTGAATTCCAGGTCTTCACTCCATCCCAGCTACAGATCCTCTGCGCATCCTGGCATAAGGAGTTTTCCTCCGTGCAACTTCTTGAAGAGAATGGAGTCAGCCCCAGCTCTAAGTCACAGTCTGGGAAGCAGCAGAAAACGTCTGCTGCCACATGGTCGCATGGTATCCCGGACACTAAGCTTGGCTCAGGGTCAGTCCCCGTGTACTGCTCAAACTTCCAGCCTGAGTAATCGGTCCTGGACACAGCAGACTCTAAAGTACGCCTAGGCAAGTTGATGCAGCGTTTATACGGCTTTCCACGGTTTCAAAATCGCATACTTCATTATTCTTCTAATTTACTAATACTTACAAAAAGAATCAACCTGAAAACTTTAGACTTCAGAATTCCCTAAAAAGCATTTTGTTGAGATTAAAAAGGCAACGGAGGCAACCGAGGCAGTAGGTGGTGCCTACATTTATATTCCTTCCCTTCTTTCCCGCAGAGGCCCTCATTAACTTAGATCAAATACATTATCACTTCAATTTTCAAAACCTGTGTTGTGATTCCCTAATGAACAAAAGGGAACAGTAACTAACTGATCATAAATAATTATTAAGCCCTAAATTACTTCATTTGGCCTGAGAATGAACTTTCAGCACAGTAGATTTGTTCTTCCATTTTCTTTAAGACAGCTGAAGTCTGCTGGCATCTTATAAAGTTCATGAGTTAGTCATTGAATCATTTTATACTTGTGCTAAGTCACTTTTATGTGTTTGTTCATTAAGTATTGTAAAAGGAGGAGCAGGCTGCTTGTCGTCCTGGCCACCCAGTTAGTTTACACCCGAAATAATCACACAGAAACTATATTCACTTAAATACTGCCTGGCCCGTTAGCTCTAACTTCTAATTGGCTAATTTTTACATCTTAATTTAACCCATTTCTTTTAATCTGTGTATCGCTACATGACTGTGGCTTACTAGCAAGATTCTAACCAGCGTCCATCTCAGGCAGAGTATCTATGGCATCTGCCACTCTGCCCTTCTTCCCAGCATTCAGTTCTGTCTACTTCACCTACCTAAGTTCTGTCCTATCAACCAGGCCAAGGCAGTTTTCTTTATTCATTATCCAATGAAAGCAACACACAAACAGAAAGAACTCCTACACCAAAGCATTTTGATGTTTTTTGGGGTTTTTTTTTGTTTTGTTTTGTTTTGTTTGTTCTGTTCTGTTTTGGATTTAGGAAATCTCTTCACGTCTTAGGCCGTGCGTTCACCCAACTCTGATCCTCTCATTTCAGCCTCTGGAGTACTAGGATTAGAAGCACAAGCTCAACAGCAGTCTCTTCATTTTGGTAGCGCGTGTCTAACCCTGTTTCACAGGTAAGTGAAAACACCAAGACAGAGTAATGTATAGAAGAGCCAGAGTAGAAATGGAGAACAATGGCTGGAGTCTGTGGGACAGAGTCTAGAGACAGGGCAATTGGAAGAAATGTGAGGGTCATTTGGGTACTGTGAGCCCTTTGGGTACAGTGAGCAAGCAAAGGGCGCACGGTAGGAAAGTCCAGCTTCAACAGAACCCACTGTCACTGTTGATGCAAGCATCAAGGCTGCCTGAAGACATTTAAAAATCCATTAGAAGTGGGGCAGCAGGGAGAAGGGGGGTGGAGGAAAGGAAGAAGGAATTTCAGATGAGCATGTTGTCTAGGAAACGACAAAGGATCATGGTTGAGGCAATGTGTCTTTCTCTCCTACTTTCTAGGATTCACAGAAGCAACAAATGAATGTGCTGACTAGGGTGCGTTATCTGGGAAATATCAGAAAGGAATAAATGATAAAACCTCTGCTGAGTGTAGAGATCTGGGAGAGCATGAAGAACAGAGATGTCGAGTGATGAGAGTAATAAAACAGCAGAAAACTCTTGCAGGAGTCAGAACAGGAACAAGTTAAAAAGAAATACATCATTGCTACACAGAGAAAAAAATACACATGGAAGGACAGAGGGCAACCCAAGCTTCACATGCAGTTTTAATGTTCTGAAAAAAAAAACCCAAATTATTATTTTGCCTCAAATATAAAAATATAGCTGATAAATTACTGTTCCCACCTCAGCATTATTGAACATAGGACAGGGTGTGAAGTAGAACACGCAGGTGAGATGAGACTCACGTATTTCCATCTCTGATGGAAACTTCAGTCTTGGGTTCAGGATAGCAGCTGAATTCGACCTTTGCACACTCACTGCTGCCGTATTTAAATAGCACATTCATTTTCTTTCACTACATTTGATCAACTGCCAGCAAACTAGCAAAACCTTATAAAGTGTTGACCGCCTGTGGGCTTTCGCAAGCGTACTGCTGCTTCTCCGGAGGCCAAATGACCTTGCACAAAAAGACAAAGTGATGAATTCTTCCCAGGCCATATGGAGAAATGATAATGCAACAACTCAGAGGAAGACACTTTGCAAACTGTAGTAAGTCTCTCCAGACGACATGGATTTCAGGCCCATGATGTTCGTGGAATAACTCCTGTCTGGAAGTGAAAGAGTCTTTTGACTGCCAGAGACCCTAAAGAGGATTTTTTTTTTTTTGGCAGGAAGTTTTAACACCTTGAATTCATCAAGGGAAGACAGTGTGTTCATAATTTCCTTTTTAAGATTGCTTTTGCAAGTGCATCCCCAAACTCTTAAAAACCCTCTCCATACCATGCATCTAGAGAAACCTGCACCTTCTCTTTCTCGACACTTAGTAGCTCAAGGCAGAGTGTGACCTTCATAATAATATCTCTAGAAAGTAGTTGTGAAACTCTACTGCAGCAAGAACCACGGAGTCTGTTTCCTTAGTACACGGCTGTTGAAATGAGACTGCAAGTCCCTGAGAGTCCTGAATTGTGTGCCATTCATCTGTAAACTGCTTGTGCCTGGCAGACAGCTCACCCAGCACCGAGAACAAATTGATATGTAAAAATAAATTTAAAAAAATAAATCACATTGTAGAGAGGAAAAATTTCTTGTTTCTAAAACCAAAGAGTTCCAAACTTGTGAATTCCTGGGATTAGTTCACTGCGTTCTCAAATGTCTCACATGCGGCCTCACACAAGGAGCACGGCAGAGAGAACGGCAGGTGAGTTCCACTGGACTCTTAATTATTCCTGTGCTGTAAGGAGACGTCATTTGTCACTGGTGAACTCCACAGATGCTCCCTAAAGCTCCTTATTGCTGGTTTCTCTAGAACTGTTAAAAGGTCTAGCCACGAGGTTTGTATTTTCTGGGTCTGCAAAGCAGCCTGCCGCTGTTAGAAGTTGCTAGAGACTCCCGTGGTAACACAGGTAGGACAATCCTACAACGAGAGGGTCAGAGGTCAGGGGCTATCTGCCATCATACTCAAACTCATAAATCTGATTGTGTCTCTGTCTTGAGAGATTTGCCTGGCCAATCAAAAAAATCTGGGGCATCAGTCTATGTTTTCAAACATTTCATGGTGCAGAGACTATTCCATAAATTTCTCATATGTGAACAGGAAGAGGCAAGAGATCCATGAGGCTACATTTCTGACAGTTGCTGCTCCTGCCTTTCAAGTGACAAGTCCATGAACAGCAACCTCCTATGAAAAGTATGCTCCATGCACTGCGCAGTCACACCTCCATTTGACTGCACTCAAATGTCCCAATCAATTAACTTACAAGACAGTTGCATAATAAGACTATTTGCCATGGATCTTTCAGATTTTATACCTACTAATATGCCAACCAGATGGGTAGATGTTGTGATCACAGCAGTGAACATTATCCTGACCCAGGAGATTAC